GTAATATTTATTATTTTATTTATATATATGTTTCGTGATATTAAGTTTTATGGGAGCTAATGTACTACACCTCGACAGTTTGCAAGCAATACATTGTGACCCAAAGAAACTTAGTAGATTCATATTATTTAGGCACTTACGCAATATTTCTTCACTATGTATTGCAGCTTTGAAAAACTTCAAATGAAACGTCGATGCTGATTTTCTTATAATAAATAATTTTTGACCCTAATCGGCTCTGATTTTATCAAACACTAAAGAGGAAAATGTAGAACACATTTTCTTCCATAGCCTAATTTTTTCCTAGAACATTTAATTTCCAGAAGTTACAAACAGCGAGAATTTAGAGGGTATCCAAATGTCGATAGACAATATTCCATATTCTGTATCAGCAGTAATCCTTTTACGGATTATTTTGGAAATATTGGAAAATACATATTTTCCCATTAGTGGTGGGTATCGACTACAGAGTGAAGTCTAAGATAAAATGTAAAACAATGTGTAGGTTTACCTGTCTTTTGTCGAAATAGCGACCCCAGTCTTTTTCGTTTTCAATAGCCGGAATTAATACATCAGAGATATCTGCAGCATCCCCAACAAGGAGTAAAACATATGTTAGTGACGCTGTTAAATGAGTAAAAACTTCTGAGCCAGTTTCGGTGCTGTTTGAAAAAGCAACTTCGCAAGAACCATCTCCTGGACATAAGAATCCTTGACATAACTTCGATTTCTTCTCATTATGCTTTGTCGAATTAATGACAGATTTCGTTATTGCCATTTTTAGAAGTAAACGAATAACTAATCCTCTTCTCATACAAAGAACCTTAAAGATAAGTAAGTATACGTAGTTTATATCGAGACAAGAATATGTAGTTTGAATTTAATAATTCGTGTATTAATCTATTTTAATCCGTAGCATAAACTTAGAATTAAAATTTTTCCTGATATTAACCTATTGCTAATTCTTGTAGTGCTATCTTTACAATGGTCACAGATCTTTGAATAGAAAACTAGTTTTCAAATATTATTTTGAATACTTGTATATAAGTAATAAGTATAAGGGTGTCTACAACTATTTCCAAGATATTTTTACCTGCAAAGGGTTGATACACTAAAATTATACCTAAATTACTTCCATATGATATTTGGATAGACCAACAATATTTCTAATATTTAAACTTCCAGATTAAGGTTTCAAAGAAAAGATAATGGTAAATGTACCCTGAATCTATACATGCCGCCCCCTTGAAAGTTAATGAAGCTTTCAATATAAAGTTAAGAAATGCCAGTAATTATGCTAGAAAAAACATGCTCAATAATTAAGAAACATAAACAATTAACAAACACATACGGATAGGCAATAATGAATGATATTAATAGTAATTAAATCTACGTTAACCTAATAAAGTTTATAGGTAATTAATAGTCTTTGCATTCATGAATTGTTTAACGGGAGAACGCACACCTTGTTCACTGGTCCCTTTATAATCGAATCACTACCAATTTTCTCCTCTGAGCCGCCATTTATGAGGAGGCTCACTACGAGAGCACCCTCTTGCAGTAAATTCGCTTGCTGTTGTGTCCACTTGGTCCTGCATTGGAGCTTGCTCACATATTCCTTGCTCCACCGCTTCCAGAAATGCTGCTTGATTTTCTGCACATGTTAGAATTTAATCAGATGGTTATCGCTTAGATCAGCTAGTGATGGTTCCGGCAAGGAAGTAAGAGTGCGACCGATTAAAAAGTGGGATGGAGTTAAAGGATTAGGATCATTGGAATCATTTGATCAGGGAGAAATAGGGCGTGAATTTAGTATCGCTTCAATGTGTTTTAGAATTTTTATATTCTTCGTAAGTTAAAGACGTTTGACTGTCAACTCGCATCAAATGCCATTTCGACACCCGCTTCCCAAAGTCCACCGAAATGTGGAAAACGCAGGAATAAGGTGCCATGTTACGCCATCCTCGTTTAAAGTATTTTTTATTTCTGATACATTACTGGGATCGTTGAGCATGTTACAGAGATCTTTTACCATAGAGTTCGTACGACAAAATTCGTGCCATTGCCTGAATATACGTTTAAGGGAATGCCGCTCCTGAATGTGAACCTACGTAAGGTAGCTAAGCATACTTCTGCACTTAGACTTGTTATGAATTCGAGGTGTATTGACTTAGTGGCGAAATATATACATATGCATATATAACATTTTAATGATTTCGCCCCACGTCCCTTTCTGTCTCTAATAATGACAGGACTGGCGTCATCCAAGCCACAGTTGTAGAAAGGAGGAGCTAGTGTTGCGCGGGTTTGGAGTAATGATTCCATCAAAGGTGTGATAGTCTTAGGGTTTGCTCAATAACACGGAATGCAATTACACAATACTATTTTTACGGTGTTTTTACAGGAGATTGGCCAATGATAGCACCTGATTAATTACGCAATGTAGCAGCCCAAATATGTTCACTCCTGATAATAGGATATTTTTTATTATGATAGAATAATGACTTTTGAAGACGACCTCCTTCTCACAATATTTGGTTTTCATCTAAAATGGCGTTAAGCAATAATAAATTACTGATATTTTATATTTTTCCATTTTTTGTATGTTTGTAATTGGGAGCATATTATTAGCACGTTTAATTTAATTCTATATTTAAAAACTTGTTTGAATCAATAATCGTACTAATCGGCCATTTAGTTTCGTCGCATGAAAACCAATGTGGACTATTCCACCACAATTGGGAGGTTTTACGTTGTTTACCTGACTTTTCACGAGTTACGAGATCAGCAGGATTGCTTTTGGAAGATATATGCCTCCAGTCCTTGTTGTTTGTCAAAGCTTGGATCTCTGTCACTCTTTTTGCTACAAAAACCTTCCACTTAGAAGGTGATTTTGCTAACCATGCTAATATTACTTTTTAATCACACCAATAAAACTGCTGATGGAATTTTATACGTAAAGAATCGATTACCCTTTTTAATAATTTTGCTAAGAGCAATGCGCCACACAGTTCCAGTCGCGGTAGCGAAATGTTTATTAGTGGTGCTACGCGGGATTTCGAACATAATAGTGATTTGGAAATAATACCAAATTTACCTTGACTTCTGATATAAATACTAGTTATTTTTGTTTAAAATAAAAATCCGTTTTTAAAAAACAAAAAAACTTTATTTAAATAAAATTTGAAATTGTTCCACAAATGAGATGTCGCTAAGACCAATACACTTGAATAAGTGAAGTAACAACTCTTGACACGAGTATTTATAATATTATGTCTTGCTGACATATTCAAAATGCAACGCAGTGCATAAGTTGTACAATAGTTTCTTTGTATTAAGTCGCAATATATAACTCGCCGTGTGCTTTTTCGGAAGACACACGCGTCCTTTAGCTTGACTTGTCGCGGTATAAGAGGTTTCTAATATCTTTCAACTGATCCCTGAACGATAGTCATTTCGTGTTTAATTCTAACGTGACCGCTTGGTTCCATGTTAATTTTGTCTGTCAAAGAGCTTAAATAATTAACTTAGCATTGATTATTATTGAATCTAACAATCTTAGCGGATCGAATATTTGGGCCGATGACGACAAAATTGATCTCTTTGTTACCTGTTCCTTTTCGTCGAAGCTTTGGATGTTATACTGGAAAGTATCACGATCGGAATTCCATAGAACCCCCAGATTTTAGTTCCTGTGTCGACACCTAATTTGATCGGTCGTTGATTTAGATCTTGCATTTATGTTCGTTAAAATTTCCTTATTGTTCGAATCCCATCGGCGTAACTCAAAACACCCTTATTTTAATATACTGTAGCGAGCACGAGCGCGTTTGTGCGCGATCGGGCATACGTGTGTGTGAGCGGCTTATCGATTCGCCGACTAGCCGCGGGCGCTTTTCTTCATGTGCGCCGTATTTGTAAACGTGTGTGTCGTACCTGCGTTCCGGGAAAGCAATTAAACAGTTCAAAGAAAACGAGACTTTTCCGGACGGCTCTAGAAAGTTCCCGAAAGGGACCAAAAGAGTATTTAAAGGAAGAGACGATCGCCGAGAGAGTAGAAAGTAGACCGTTGCAGAAGTGAATCAAGACACAAATTGACAGTGATAGAAAGTGAAATAAATAGAACAGTGAATAGTAACAGTAGTGTAAATAAATGGAATAATTACCTAAGTTTAGTAATAATTTAAAAGTGTTTTTAAGTTCAATAATAATTAGTGTAAATAAATAGTTTTCTTCTTAAAGGTTAATTTGTTAAAACCCACGAACATTACAACTGGTGTCAGGTGTGGAGTTGAGTAAAAGACATTACAATGGCAAAGAAGTTGTACGAATTGAAAGTATTTGAGTTAAGAAGGGAATTGGAAGAACTGGATGAAGCGACAAGCGGTAACAAAGCGGAACTTCAGTGGCGGCTCGCGAAGGCGTTGAAAAAGGATGGCCATGATCCTGAGACGTTCTTTTTTGAAGACGAATTGTCGCAAATGATGAAGTTTAGAAAAATTGAAAGAAAACACTAAAAGTTTGGGATATAAATTGGAACAAAACAGTAAATGTATGGAAAATAAATTGGAAGAAAATAGTAAAAGTCCGAAACGTGAATTGGAAGAAAACAGTAAAAGTTTGAAACGTGAATTGGAGAATAAATGGGAAGAAAAAAATTTAATAAGAATATTCAAGAAACAGAAGAAAAGATAAAAATGCTGGAAGAATTGATTTGTAATGGAAAGACAAAACCAATCGAAGGGGGTGTTGGCGCATTTAGTACACTCAACGAAGTCGGCCAAATTAGCCAAGGAAGCGGTATAGAGTCCAGAACACGAGTAAAATCACCAACGTTTGACGGAAAGTCCTCATGGACCACATATCACAAACAATTCGAGGCGGCTGCTAAGGCGAATAAATGGGCGCCTGGAGCAAAAGCCACTGCGTTGACCGTTGCGCTTCGTGGAGAGGCATGTGACATTTTGAACACCCTTTCCTCGGAAGAATTGGCGGATTATGAACAGTTGGTAAAACGGTTGGAGTTGCGCTACGGCGAGGCTCATTTAACAGCGGTGTATCACATCCAACTGAAAACCCGTCAGCAGAAACCAACGGAATCCCTACAAGAATTCGAGGCCGATATTGCGAGACTGTCTCGACTGGCCTATCCGAATACTCCAGAAGAATTGATGGAAAGGTTGGCAGTGGAGGCATTTACTGATGGACTTCGGGACAGTGACACCCAACAACAAATACGCCTTGACCGACCTAAGACGCTAGCTGATGCATTGGCTCGTGCATTGTACTACGAAACTGTTAAACGGGCCTATTGCAAACAGGGAAGGGTTCGGCTACTGTGTGAAGAAACGGATTCGTCAGAATCTTTAGAAGAAACCGTCTGCCGAATCATCTCCAAGTTCGATAAAGAAACAAGAAGGCTAAAATGTTGGAATTGCGGCGAACTAGGTTATACCAGGAGGCAGTGTAGAAAATGTACTCCTCCCCCAAGTACTCGACGTCAACAGCAGGAAAACTAGATAGGGTCGACGTAACGGGGCAAACGTTGACCCAAAGACAAAAAGACCCCGAATTTATCGCATTTACGAAGACCTTGAAGCACCAGAATGACAGTCTACTCCTAGGTGGAAAAATAAATGGCCGAAGATGCGTGTTTCTTTTGGACACTGGGGCCACTAGGAGCGTAGTAAAACCCAGCGTAGTTGAGGATTCTAACCGGGTCGTGTCAACTAAGTGGGTTCTGCGTACGGCTACCGGAGAAAAAGCGGTTGTTCATGGCGAAGCTGACGTCTCACTTAAAAATCGGTAAGACTGTCTTTGACCATCGAGTGCTTTTGGCAGATATTGAAGATGACGTAATTGTTGGGCTGGACGTTTTATAAAAATACGATTTTGACATGATTTTAAAAAGACGCATTCTAAGACTGAATGCCGAAGAATTCTATTTCATCAGGGGTAGACAGGAGGCTGTAAACCGAAAGGTAAATTCTGAAACAGTACCTGTTGAAATAAGTGGAGTGATGGACAGACATTGTAGGAAGCTAACGAGAGAGCAGAAATACAAAGTGCAACATCTACTTTTTCAGAATGCCGACGTCTTTGAGACTGACAGGAATGGTAGGGGAAGGACCAATATCGTAAAACACAAGATCAATACCGGTAATGCGCAGCCTATTTGTCAAAGAACTAGACGATTACGCTGGTCAAAAAGGAAGATGCAGAACGAATAATCCACGAAATGCTGGAGACCGGCATAATTGAGCCATCCTCAAGTCCATGGACATCACCAGTAGTATTGGTAAAGAAGAAGGATGGAACAACCCGTTTTCGTGTGGATTACCGACAGCTCAACAACGTAACTAAGAAAGATAGTTATCCACTACCACGGATTGATGACACCTTGGATATGCTTTCTGGCTAGAAAATGTTTTCCACACTCGATTTGAAGAGCGGATACTGGCAAGTTGCTTTAGATGGTGCCGATAAGGAAAAGACCGCATTCTCTATCGGCACGGGCCTTTGACACTTTACAGTTACATCTTTTTATACCTTTCGGGTTATGCAATGCACCGGCGATGTTCGAAAGGTTGATGGAGAAAGTCTTGAGTGATCAAATTGGAAAGACCTGCTTGGTATTCTTGGATGACATCATAG